ACTTTTCTTGGCTTTTGACAACATCAAAAGCCGACAGCAGAGAGTCTGATGTGGGGCTTGAACCCACGAACCATGAGATCACAGCCTGAGCTGAAGTGGAACGCTTAACCGACTGAGCTTAACTTACTGAGCCACCTAGGTGCCCCCAGACATTGTCCTTTTTAATACTCATTTTTAAAAACAAAGGGCACCTGGGTGACTCAGTCAGTTAAGTGTCTGAATTCAACTTGGGTCATGATCTCACGGTTGGTGGGTTCAAGCCCCGTATCACGCTGTCTTCTATAAGCACAGAGCCTGCTTTGGATACTCTCTGTCCCCTTCTCTCTGCTCCTCCACCCCACCTCTCAGGGGTGCGTGCACTCTCTCTTTCTCTTTCAAAAACAAATAAACATACCCCCTCCCCTAAGAAATATATTAACCAAGATATTTCACTGGGCAAATTAGCATTACATTAAAAAATCTATTCTTGTAAAACTAGATTGATAGCAGAGATTAATAGGCGCGATGTAATTTTTATAATATTTTGTCATACCTTAAAGAACCTGCTTTTTGATAATATTTTGTCATGCCTTAAGATCCTGCTTCATTTTAAATGAAACATTTTAAAATCATTTTTTCCCACCGGTGGAATAAAACTAACATGTTTTGACCAAAATTACCCTAATTTTGAATATTTTGAAATTAGGTATGGAAATTAGACAGTGCTAAGACTTTTTTTTTTTTTAAAACCATAATTTAAGTGTGGTTTCTCTGCCAGCAGCTTCTGCATTATGAGCAGGCTTACAAAAGAAGAGGCCTCCTTGACTCTCAAGGTTTGCTTGTTTGCATTCTACAAATAGGAAGAGACCCTTTCTGGCATTTTGCCTTATAGGCCCTAGATCAAAATGTGTTATTACCCAAGCCAACAACAATTTTAAAATTGCTGGCCTTGACATTATAACAGATCTGTGGATAGTGAAGCACAAGCATCTGTCAGATCAAGTGTGAAAGTTTGCATTTCCGTATACTTTCTCCAATCCCAAGAACAAGTTTAGTTTTGCCATTCAGACAGACTTGAGGCTTCTAAAAATCTGTGCTGACTGGTGTGCACTGTGGCAGCCGCAGAGGGCCAGTTGGACCTTTGATCTTCTTGTCTGGGTCACCCCTCTTAGGGAAAGGTCAAGAGACTGAGAGACCCTTCCCCAGGTTGGTTTCCTTAGTTATGCCATACTTTGTCAACAGCTGCCAACAGTGTCTGAGCTGGGCTTCTTTCCCTCCAAAACAGACTCCATTTAGGGCACAGAATTTTTTCAGACTGGTGTAAGGTTTTTACAGAGTAGCAACAGGGTAATTAGGCTCATTGATGTCACCATGTGAAAACCTCTTCTTTAAACATCCTGAATGTCCTTACCCACATGTCTAAATGTGGGTTTAAGAAATTTTTTTTTAAAGTTTGAGAGAGAGAGAGAGGTAGGGGAGGGGCAGAGAGAGAAGGAGAGGGAAAATCCCAAGCAGGCTCCATGTTCAGTGTGGGGTCCAACGCAGGGCTCGATCTAATGAACTGTGAGATCGTGACTTGAGCCGAAATCAGGAATGGGCCACTTAACTGATTGAGCCACCCAGGTGCCCCTAAATGTGTCTTTTAGAAATGCTAACAGATAACCTGGAATTCTTAAGACTGCCTAACCATGTACAGAAGGAATGAAGACTTTCCCGAATGTCTTTTAGTTTCAATTGGAGATGCATGAAGAATGACCTCCATTCTGCCTAAGGAGTCTGACCTTCTTGTCACTGCGTGTAACATTAATTTCTTAATGTGTCCAGTGTGTAAAAAGGATTTTTTTCCTACTGTTTTAGCTGTTGGCCTGACTTTTGCATTTTCATTGGTAAAATATGTAGGTCTGTGCTTTGAGTTGAAAGGCATAGATTAGTAAACATCCCTGAACCAGCATGGCATATGCAGTTAACAGTCACAGAAAACACTGCTCATGGTTAGTTAATATGTAAACTTTTATTTCCAACATCTAAAAATTGTTCAGAGTTATCTTTAGTTGTCTGACTTCTGAGGGGTGGTTAGGAAGGTATAGCATATATCTTTAGGCAGAAACTGACAGTGATTCTCAAACTTCATTGAACATCAGAATTACCTGGAGAGTTCGTTGAAATGCAGATTGCTGGACCTCACCCCTGGTTTCTGATTCAGTGGGGGTGGGGGTGTGGCTGGGGGAGCAAGATTTTGCTTTACATGTTGCCAGGTAATGCCACTCCTGGTGATCGAGGAATCTACTGTGAGAATCACTGCTTTAGGATGTAGATCTCACACTCTTTTTTGACAGGAAAAGACAGCTGAATTGCAGAGGGGGCCTGTTCTTTCCTCCGAAGCATTGCCTCTTCTAAGCAAACATTAAAGGAAGATTTATATACCGCATCCATGTGGTGGTCATGCACTGAGCTAGGTGCACAGGGCATAAATAAAATGGCCTCTGTCCCTGGGAATCTCACAGTTTAGAGAGGGGATTAACATAAGAAAGTCTGCAGTCCTGATCCCTAGACTTGCTGTGGTGGAGATGTCAGGGGGTGGATCAGCTCTCTAGATTTGCCAGGAGGGGTGGTCTAAGCTGTTCTTAGAGCACCTCAGTTTTATTCCTGTGGGTGTGAGTGAAAGAAACAAGAATGTTCTGCAGCAAACCATTTTGTTCACTCTCAGATGAGCTCCCTGTCTTCTTTGACTCCCTGGGCGGGCGTCCTACACTATATATTCAGGATCTCCAGGATTGTCATTGTCATTGTCATTGTCAGCTCTCCACCCCCAGCTTTTGTAGAAGGCCCCTCCTACTCTCCCTTTTCCTTTTACATTTTAAAATTACAATTTCAGATACTGTCCACTGTGGCAGCAGGATTTGTAACAAGACCAAGTTAAGTGATCTTGGTTGAACTGATTTATGAGACAGCTTCAAAAATTCATGAGGCACCAGGGGAACTTTCTGTAGCTCCCTCAGCATGCAGCATTTCCCTTCACCTCTTCACGTAGATCAGACATTTTGTGATAGTGCAGCAGTTTGAAGCGGAGACTTCTAGATCATGGCCCTGCTGATTAAGACACTAAGACACTCCTGAGGAGTGAGGGGAGGGAGAGCTGAAGCCCTTGTTTCCCTAACTCTGGGCATTGACTTTGGGTAAACCAGTGAAAACCTGGTAACTACAGTTGCGGATAGAACTGTCCAGAGCAGGGTTTTCTCCATGGGTGATCTGCTGTGTCCTTCTAGTGTTATGAAGGAAGATCTTGGTCCATTAATAATAGTCCCACAATCTTAAGCGCAGTGAAATGAAGTATGTGTGCAAGTGTATGTGTGTATGTGAAAGAAAGAAATCAAGCAACACATGGGGCGCCTGGGTGGCTCAGTCGGTTAAGCGTCTGACTCTGGGTTTCAGCTCAGGTCATGATCTTGTGGGAGCCCCACATGGGGCTCTGTGCGGGCAGTGCAGAGTCTGCTTGGGATTCTCCCTGTCTCCTTCCCTTTCTTCCCCTCCCCCACTCTGGCTGTCTCTCTCAAAATAAATAAATAAACTTAAAAAAAAAAATCAAGCAACACAGTTAGTTGTTCCTTCTTTCTGTGAAAGCCTTCTCTAGACAGGAACAAAGGATATGGCTAAAAGCAGTAACCGGTTACAGTGCCTTCCCCATTTTATTGATCGTTCATTTCTCGTCTCTGACCTTATTAGCTACTTATTGATCTACTAGAAAAGCAAATAATTTTCCCTTGATAGCACTTAGGTGAACTGGACTTTAATGACTTGTCTCCCAAAGGGTTTTTAAAAAAGTATTTACCTACTAAGTGGAAGTTGTCTACTATCTAATGTTATAATCTGTGAGCTTGGGGACCCTTTCTTGGGAGGATCAGTGATGTCACAGGCTGGCCTCCTCATTTTGGCTACTCCTGTTAAGACACCACACGTGCTCTGTGGACTGCTGTAATGGCCTTGTAGCACACAAAGTTTTGGAGTCGACACAAGGAGCATATGTGAGATCCCACGGGAGGTGACGTATTGCTGAGTCAGTTTTTTTTTTTTAACTATTTATTTTAAAGTTTATTTATTTATTTTGAGAGAAAGAGAGAGTGCAAGTGAGGCAGGGGCAGAGAGGGATGGGGACAGAGGATATGAAGCTGACAGCACAGAGCTTGATGCAGGGCTCAAACTCAATGAACCATGAGATCATGACCTGAGCTGAAGTCAGACGCTTAACCCATGGAGTCACCCAGGCATGCTGTTGCTGAGTCCGTTCTGATCAGCACCTGCCAACATGTCAAATAACTAGACAGCCAGAACCACTTTGTTGTTAATAAATTTTGTTTTGAGATTTTAATTCATGATTTTGGGCTCAGATTTGCTTACAAATAAGTTTTGAGTTCTTACTTGCTCTAAAAATGCTTAATTCTCTCCTATCTGTGCTTGGGGAGAGAGAGGGTTTGGATTTGGGGTAGATATGTGTCATAGGGAAGCAGAGTGGCACAGATAACATAGGAGGTAAAATGGTTTTCCCAGCATTGTAGGTGTCTTTGACTATGTTAGTTTTTTTATGTTTACATTTTCACGTTCCCATTTTACTGCTTTTGATTATACTCTTGTTGGTTAAGATTAAATTTGTGTGCATCTCCTAAGATTATATGCAATGTGAGGCATGATGTTGGAAGCAATAGAAATAGAACTTGGAGAATGGTCCCTGATAATCCGTGAATAATATAATCCACGTAGAGGTAAAAGCAAAGATTGACTCCATAAATTGTGGGATTAATGGGTGTTTTTGTCCATTTTTCTTTTTTGCTTATTTTTTGAGTAGGTAATACAGTCATATGATTCAAAGATCAAAACCATATAAAAATTTTATAGAGAGATGTCTCATTCCCATCCCTGGACCCATATGCCCTATTCTTCAGCTTCCCATAACTATTTTATTGGTTTCTTATGTATCCTCCATAATTTCTGAAAGCAAATAGAAATACACTTGAATGTGTATTACACAGCGATACCATAAACATCATTCCGCATCTTGCTTTTTTGTGATTATCAGTATATCTTGGAGATCATTCCATCTCAGTATGGAGAGAGCTACCTAATTAATTGTCTTTAAAGCTGCCCAATAGTCCATTATATGGTTGTACTCTTACATATTTAATCGGTTCATATGTAACGACCTTGGGTTATGTCTAGTTCTTCACTCTTACAAGTGATGCTGCTTTGAATAATTTTGACTATATGGCGTTTCATCCATGTGTACGTATACATCTGTAGGATAAACTCCCAGGAGTGAAATTGTTAGTCAAAGTATATGTGCATTTGTCATTTTGATAGTTACTGCCCAAATCCTCTGTACGAATTTGTATTGGTTGTACCAATTTATATTCCTGTTTAAGAGTAGGGATTTCCCCAAGCCTTGGCAACAAGTTTTGTGGTTAAACTTTTGAATTTTTGCCAATCTGATAAGAGAAAAATTGTATCTCATAGTGGTTTCAGTTTGCATTTCTTATTAATAATGTTGAGCATCTCTTACTATATCCTAGATCTGATCGTATTTTCTCTTTGTGAACGGTCTGGTCATATTCTTTGCTTGTTTTTCTGTTGGCTTTTTGTTAGTTTTTGTATGTTTTAAAATAACTGGTCTATTTTGGGGTATTTTTAGACTTACAGAAAAGTTGCAAAGATTTACTGTTTCTTTTTACCCATTTTGCTGTCATTAGCTCTGTTAATTATGTTAGGTGGTGTAAAGAGGTCCAGGTCTCCTGGAATTCTGGGCTTGTCACAGGTATGTCATCCCAAAGAAGGATGCAGATCCAATTTATGACTCTTAAGCTGCCTCAGGGGATGTTCTAGTTACAGATGTGGGAGGTTCCTCCGAGCCTCTGACTAGCTTACATTGTTGGGGCATACAACGTAGAGCCTGTCCTCCGATATTCTTCTTTTACTTGCGAAACTTATTAACTACAAGGGTTATTGAAGTGAAAACCTTGCCTCGAGTTTATATTTCTTGAGATTTACTTCCAGTTATAAATGTGGTTTTCAAATGACTGAATCTTTCATAGACCAGGTTTCAAGCACATTAAATAGTTGGTGATTTCCCCCTTCTCTTCATCACATGCTAATTGGGAGAATGAATAGCTGTAATTTTTCTGGAGCATCATGCTGTCATTTTGTCCTGTGAATGAGTTCTCGGAGTACAGAGCTAAAACGTGGGGGCAGAGGTGCCGGTGCCGTTCCCATGTGGAGACACGCGTGGATCTTTGTGTCCCGCAGGGGTCGGCCTCCCCTGGAAGTTAGGGGCACTGGCTCTAGAATAAGACCTCCTGGCTTCAGATTCCTTCTTTGCCACTGCTAGCTGTGTCACCTTGAACACATTACCTAACTGTTTTGTGCTTTACTCTCCCCATTTGTAAAATGGGGATCGTGATAGCACCTGCCTCATTGAGGTGGTAATGAGGACGGGATGTGATAACACGTGTGAAGTGCTTAGCACAGGCCTGGAGCCTGATGAGTTGCCAATAAATAAATAGTGGCTCAACAGTAGTGGAGAGCAGTGATTTCAGAGACCATCGTTGTGTGGAATTTGACTTCGTTTACCTTGTGAGGAATGTAGCCTGCAGACAGGGATGTCATACATGCAGCCAGTATTTGAGTACCTGGCAGTGCGAGACGATAATTAACATTTCTGTCATGTCTTGCAGTTTAGGAATTTTACAAATGTCATTTACCTCAATGCAGTCTCACAAAGTAGCTCTGAGATATGATTATCCTCAGTTTATAGTTGAGGAAATGGAGGGTCAAATGCCTTATCTGATGAGCTCACCATCACAGACCTCCTTGCTGGTGGAGTTGGGATTTGACTCCAGGCCTCCTGACATTGACTCTCCAGATGCTCTCTAAGAAGAGAGTGTCAACAAAGGAAGAATCTGGAATGGTTCCCAGGTGTCCCTGGGTTTAGGTCATACTCTTCTAGGGCAGCAGAGCTAGAAGGAAGCCTGAGGTTGGCCCACCTCTTTGCGTGACTAATGAAGGCACTGCTGTGCTCGCAAGGGACTCGGGGACGCGCATGGTGCTGGCAGGCAGCTTTATGGAGAGGGCAGGGTTCTCCTTGGCTGTTCCTGGGTGGTCTTTGGGGGCTGATTAATTGCTGGCATGGAGGGGGTTTATTATGGGAAAAGTAGATAAATTCAGAGAGGGGAGGACCTGTAACTTGAGAAGCATGCGGTTTTCCTGGGATATTTTCCTAAGAGCACAAATAAAAGGGCTGTAGTTTAGTATTCAGATGTGGTTCCAGTTGTGCAAGGGCAAAGAGAAAGAGGCAAAGGCAGGGAGACAAGGAAGGAAAGTGAGTGAGTGATTTGAAAAAAAGTCAGTGAGAGACCTTTGTGGGCACATCGATAGTGTCTCCAGGGCAGGCGTTTGAACTCCGGGGAACTTGGTATATAAGGGAGAACGTCTTTAGCAGTTCTAGGACCTGAAGCAGACTGGGTGGCCTTGGGGTGTGTCACCTTTTCTCCTGGGAGTGGAGGGAGGGGTGCAGAAGCTACCCCATGGTATTCCTCTCAGAATTGCACTTGGGGTGACTTCTGCTTCAGGTGGGAGGTTATTCTAGGCAGAGCCGGAGTGGACCGGCAACATCAGTCTCCTTGAGGTCTTGTTAGAAATGAAGATTTGGGAACCCTACCCCAGAACTGCTGAGTTGTAATCTCCAGGGGGTGGTATTCAAGAATGTGTATTTTAGCGAGATCCTTAGGTCATTTGTCTGCATGTTAATTTATGGAAGCATTGCTCTAGTCTAGAGGCTTTCCATCTCCTCCTTAGGGTTCTATGCTGCGGGATTAACCTGCTGTTCACGAAATAGGTACTGAATTCTTGTTTTGTAGGCACAATACAAAGGTGGACTCTAGTGTGGATCATACCTCTCCGGGAGCAGACAGTCTAGATGAAGAGACAGGATTGTCTACAAATAATTAGTGTAAAGATAGTGTGAAAGGCCAGGAGCAGAGGCACCCAGAAGGCCTGGGACCGTGTGGAGGATAAATGTGTTTCTGTGGGGGTGTGCAGGGGCAAGAGGTGTGCATTACATCAGCGTACAACTTCTGTGTAATTCTAATATGTGGTCTGTCGCTTCTTTGTAAGCCTGACTGGTGGCCTGACTTGGGCCAGCGAATGGCCATAGCAGTGTATTATTGCCTGTAGCCTGTCTGAAACCTGTTCAGCATGCCGCCATCACTTGACTGTCTGCTTTATTGACTCGATAAATACTTTAAAGATTGCCAGGGTAATGAAGATGACTCCTGGAAGGACATCCCCACCATCTGCTTCTGGGTCTTCTCTCACCTGTGTTGCCTCTTCTCAAAAACCTGCATGCCCACACTCTGTAAAAGAAAAAAAATTGATTTGTCACTGAATTTCCATGCCTCAGCCTGGGAGAAATGTAAATGTTGTACTGGCCTTTAGTACTCTGCCTTCAAGCCTAGATTTAGAGCTGATCATTATACTTTTAGAGTAGGTTAGGTATGAAAATAGCAGCAGGTTGAAGAGTCAGAGGAAACTGTTTGCTCTCATCTGCTGGTTTGGTCAGGGTGGAAGTACGAATATTAATACAGTCCGCTTAAACAATAAAATAACTCCCAAGGAAGAGGAACTATAAACTTTAGTAAATATCAGAGATGTTAAATGCTAAAAATAAAGGCTCTTTGCAGTTGTTTGGCTCTTTAAAGAGAGTGTTTATTGGTCAGGAGGGCTGGTGTGTTTGGTCATGTTTTGCTAGCTTTTTTTCTTTTCTTTTTTTTCTTGGTATGCATGTGTGTAAGTGCATCAGAATATAAATTAGTTAATTAAGTAGGACAGTGTTTCTAGAGTGTGAAATAGTAACCTGGCTAGCCAACTTAATTAAATCCTTTGTCATTTTCCTTTTGAAACAAGTTTCATCTTGGGAGGTCACTATGTCCTGGCTGTTGTACTTCTGAAATGTACCTTTTGACTCTATCCTCTCCTTTGTCTCCTTTTTCTCCTGTTCGGCAACTTGCACTGACTTGTCAGCTGACTTCATTCTCTCTCCCCCAGCTGTCCACTGTGCCACGACCACTAGAGACTTCTATCAGAAATCCCAAACTCTGTATGTTCCAGCTAAAGTCTAAGGAAACCCCCAGAGGCTTCCTGTTGTCTGTAGGACGTACTGTTTTTCCCAACTCCGTGGTGTGCCATATAAGACTCTTTATAGTCTGCCTCCAAAATACTGTTTCAGCCTCATCTTTAGGCTTACTCATCCCTGGGTCCATCCAGCCCACAGACCTATCTGCTATTTCCAGTACAAACAAAATATCACCAATAGTAGCCTTACATTGGTAGGCGCCATTCTAAGTGTTTGGCGAGCATTGTCTGATGCCATTATTATATTCAACACCAGAGACTTTTGTCATTTGTTCAAGGTCATGCACCTTGTGTTAGAGCTTGACTATTTTGATGGTCTCGCTTCTGTTCCCCGCTTTTATGTTTCTGTGCCTTTTGCTTATATGTTTTCTATGCCTAAAATGTCTTCCTCTTCTGTCTTCTTAGACTTGGAAACTTAGGTGTTAGGCATTCCTAACAAGGTGCTTCCACAGATCTTGGTGTCTGTCTCAGTTGAGCCTGATAACATCCTTAGCAGTAGTATCATCTAGTACTACTAGGAGGAGCTGGTCCCAAATCTTAATTTTTTTTTTTTCCCATTTCCCCTGCAAATAGTAGGTGCCTAATAGAATGAATGCATGGATGGATGGTCATCATCAGTGTCTGACTCCTTTTGTGATTTGAGTAGAGTGTCCTTGGCCAAGTTTAAGGCTTCAGAAATTGCTGTGTGGAAAGAATGCATGTTATTTTAGCCATATCAGATTGTAGCCAGGGATAGTCCAACAAGCAAGGATCAAACGCCAACAAAGTTGTTGGTGTTTTTATTTGGGTCCAAGTGGAATATCAGAAGAATTTGGAATGGGCCTACTTATGGCAAGTTACTTATTTCTTCAGAGTTGATTGTCTGATTTGTGGCTGTATTAGTTTGCTAGTGCTGCCATAACAAAGTACCAGAGACTGGGTGGCTTAAACATAATAAATCTATTATCTTACATTCTGGAGGCTAGAAGTCCCAGACCAAGATATTGGTGGGGTTGTTTTCTCCGGAGGCCGATCTCCTTGGCTTGCAGATGGCTGCCTTCTTGCTTGCTGTGTCCTCGCTTGGTCTTTTACTGTGTGTGCAGTGCACGTTGTGTCCAAGTGTCCTCTTCTTAAAAGGACACTAGTTACAGATGACCTTTGGAAATTGCATGTATAAGTTTGACTCCCTCCAAAACTTAACTACTCATAGCATACTGTTCACTGGAAGCCTTACTGATAACAACAACCAATTGACACGTATTTTGTATGTTATATGTATTATATACTGTATTATTACAATAAAGTAAGCTAGAGCAAATAGTTATTAAGAAAGTCATAAGGAAAACACATTTTTGGTACTATATTTAAGTGGACCTTCACAGTTCAAACCTGTGTTGTTTAAGGGTCACCTGTAGTATTAAGGCCCAATCTAAAGAACTCATTTTAATTACCTTTTTAAAAGACCATATCTCCAAATATGGTCATGTTTGGAAGTACTAAGTGTTAGGACTCCAACATAGAAATTTTGGGGGAACATATTTTAGTCCCTGGCAGTGTATTATGGAAGTTCCTCTACTTAACCCCTCCCCTTTCTGCCTTTTCCTTTTGTTTTCTTCCTTCTGGCAATTTTGTTTTACCAGAGGGCTGTTGGGAGGAGAAGCAAAGATAGAAGAAAAATACATTTATTTTGGGTGAATTTCGGGAAATAGCTGGTGGGGGGAATGGCTGAATCCATTGGTGAAAATGAGATTTTGATATTGCCTCTAGATGTGTATTGTCCTGGCACATTCTGTTCTGGTTTCCTGGGCAGATGAAAGCTGGCTGTGTGTTGGAAGGCTGGGGAAGTGTCTATTCTTATATTAAGTGGAAAGGGAAATTGATAATCCAGCTTTTTCAGTTGCCTGGAAAAGTGAGAACTCTATCCTTACCTGAATTTCAGCCCTTCTTCCTAGAAGTAGCTCAGGGACTTGGTGAGCACACTGAGGGTAGGGGGCAGCCCTCTCCCGTGGCTGACAGCCTGTGTGGCACAGAAGCAGAAGCTGAGAAAACATGTGTCACCCTGAATTACTGAATTTGTGCGTCCCAGCTACGTTGTTGTTCCCCAGACCTTTTGTGAGGGGTTTTTCTTTATCCTTGTTTGTTAATTCCTACCCTTGTCTCCAGTTCTCAGTTGTGGCTTATGTCTTTTCTTCCCTTTCTCTTTGTGATTATCAAGTAATTTATTAAATGGAGACAAGCTTAACTAGACATTAAATAATTGCAGGTGTGCAGCTGAATTGAGCTGCTGTCCTTTAACTAGGAACTCACAGCTGTTTGTGTTGTATTGTGTGATGAGATTACACTTTACCTCATTTGGTTACATGATCTCTTGCATATTGTGAGGTGCAAGAATGTTGAAGCTTCTGCTTTAAGCAGTACACAAAGGCTGGTATGTTCTCAGGAAACCAACATAAAAGGTACTGGGAGGTCAGGTCTGGAGTCTTTGCGATATTTTTTTCCTGGAATTTTTTTCATTTCCTTTGCCTTTTTCTTGATAGGGAGCACCTGATTTGCTCCTTGACTGTCAAATATGATCAGTTATCACATCTTAAAACTGTTTTAAAAAAACAAACAAAAAACTGTTTTTTATATTGTTAAAGCAGGGCTTTTCGGTTTCCTTCAAAGGAAGAGAGAGATCAGCAGTATGTTGGACAGATTAGTTCCTTCTGTGCTTTTATTAGACCTCATCTGCATGCTTCTTTTATACAAATTTGCCTCATCAGTAAAAAGTGTAACTTTTACAAATGTAAGATTTAGTCATGGGTTAGGTTGTAGTGCCACCAATTTACTTTCTTTGTCTGGTTTCATAATTTATAATAGTTGCTAGAAGTAGACACTACTTTCACAGTATCTAGCTCAACACAGAATTTAGAGTAAGCTATTAATAAAGGATTGCTTGAGTAAACTAGGCAGTAAGCCTAATGGTTTTAATAACCAATATACATGGATCTACTCTCAGGACATACAGGTATAAGAAATGTCATGTTGCCACTTGACTGCTTTGTGACCTTGGGCATCCTACTTAAATGTCTTAATCTTTGGTTTCTTCATCTAGGTGGTTGTGAGGATTAAAGATATTTGCATTAGATATGTGCATGCACACAGCATTTGCATGCATGCAATGTGCCTGGCACTATTCTGGATACTGGCTACATTTGTGAACAAAGCAGACCAAGTTCCTGCCCTGGTGGGATTAAATTCTAGATCTAGTTTTTTTAATTTAATTTATTTTTATCTTAGAGAAGGAGGGAGAGAGAGTGCGTGAGTGGAGGAGAGGGGTGGGGGGGGAGGGAGAGAGAGAGGGAGAGACTATGAATCCCAAGCAGGCTCCACAGCCAATATGGAGCCCGACGTGGGGGCTCAATTCCATGACCCTGGAGTCATGACCTGAGCTGAAATCAAAAGAGTCCAACGTTCAACTGACTGAGCCATCCAAGTGCCCCATATACTTTAGACTGTCTACCAGGGAGAATCCACTTGGTGGGAGAACATGATAGCTACCATTTGTGAAAAAAATTTTTTAACTGAAATATGTAGCTAATAATGGTTTCTTTATTTGGTACATTTAAACACTGTTTCAATCTAGTACACGTCTGGCATATAGAGGGAGCCTTAAAGCCCTTCCCATACTTTTTCATATCATCTACAGCTGTCTGTATTTATGGGTTTGTCTATAAAAAAAATTGGTTAGAGTCTCTATCTAGGCTAGGGATTGTTGGTCATGGATGCTGACTTCTCTGGGAGTTTGCTTTTAGGCTGTCTCTCAGGTTCCAGAAGGGGACTCCAAGAATGAGTTCTGAGTGACATGTGTGATCCTTTGAATCTTTTCATGGAAGTGCAGTTTGTTCAAGTAAAGTCTGGATGGCTCAGAGACTACACTGTGATGTTTAGCTTACCTAACCCTGTCTGATACACTCTTTGCTAGTGTCTACAGAAACACAAGCAGAGAAATATCCCAGGGTTTCAGACTGATTAGCTCTCTTAAACTCTTATTCTTAATGGGTGACTGAAAGAAAAAATATTTTTGAGATTTTTCTCTTTTTACCTATGACTAATAGAAACAAAAAGACACTGGCCATCTTTCAGAAGCATTGTAAACGTATTCTGATTGTGGGCTTCTGGAGTTCAGACGTGGGAGGGTGTTAGTGACCAGATGTCAGTTCCTTGGGGACAGGGGTGGTGGTTGTCAGTGAATCTAGAACTGTATCTTGAGAGGAATGGGCAGTGGCTTCTGTAGGGACACAGAGATGTCCGACACCTGTCATGCACTGTGCTGAATGCTGGGTCTATAGTATTTGGAGTATTTGAACCAGGGCTAGCCCATAATGTATCTGTGTTGTTATGAGAGATCTATCAGGTTGAGAGCTGTGAACCCATCATATGGTTGCAGTTTGCATCCTTCCTGTGTTTTCTCTTAGGGAATAAATAATATATGATAATGAAAAACATGTTTTTGTGGCTTTTTTTAATTGAATTTTGATTTAGGACCCTTTATGTTGTGGGTGTTTTTGAAGGTTGTGGAATTTGGTTGCTTATTGAGAATGCTTTGAGAAAATTGGATCTCTGACCTACAACCAGTCCCACATTGAATTCCTTCCACTTATTGCTACAAAGAAATACACATTTTTGTTGAAGCTGAGGGAGGGGTGTTACCTGCTTGTTTATCAGAGCCTCCAAAAGTAGCTCAGACATCCCTGATGCCTCAGCTGATGTCCTTGCTCCCTGGTTGGGTGTTTGTGTCTGAATTTCTTGCTTCCTTGGCTGTGGGTTAGGTCACAGAGCCCATTGCTATGGAGATTATTGCAAAGGAGCAGACTTAGCAGGATTGCACAAGGCTAGCCAGTGGCTGGGTTTCGACTACCTTGGAAGAATTGGCTTAAGGGCAGAGAGGAAAAGTTTAGAAACCTTTCTTCCTCTTTGGTGGTGCTGATGCCAATGAAACCAGACTGAAGTTCTTGTGCCTTTTTTCAGGAATAGGGTCATATAGCTCATTGGACTTAAATTAGTTGGTGTGAATTACAGGCAGGGGCTTTATGTAGGTGCCATGTGTAAATCATTGTGCTGTCCAGGTGGAGTTAATTTTTTTTTTTTTTTTTTTGAGAGAGTGTGAGAGCTTGAGCACAAGCAAGGGAGGGGCAGAGGGAGAGAGAGAATCTTAAGCAGGCTCCACACCCAGTGCAGAGCCTGACATGAGGCTCCATCTCACAACTGTGAGGTCATGATCTGAGCTGAAATCAAGAGTCGGACGCTTAACTCACTGAGTTACCCAAGTGCCCCAGGTGGAGTTAAATTTGATATCAGAAGAATGAGTTAGCCTAATGGAGGGTAACAGTGGGTTATTAAGGTGTTCTTCAGTACAACCAGAAATTTTCACTCCATAATGTTTTTACTGTAACTTCTCATTCTTGGTGTTGAATCAGGCCCACATGGCCATTCTGATGGTTTGGAAAAGTTTTCGCCCATGAGAGTGGTCTTCTTAAAGATGGTGAATCAGAATCATCTCATCATTGCAGGTAAGGAGGTACTTTTGTTCTCTGAGTTTGCTGCAAGCATGTGCTGACTCAGAGAGGAAAGGGCAAAACCAGACATTTTTCTTTCTGTTGAATCTTTTCATGATGAGGGTTTTGTCCTTTTAATAAAATAAGCCAGAGCTCTAAACTTTATTAAATGAGAGGTCTGGGGCAAAGGAGAAATGATGCAAAATGCTGTCCTGTTTCTTAGAAAACTTTACTGGTACCTTTTGAGCTGTGTCCATTGGCTCATTGTTTCAGAAACATCACACAAAATGTCTTACTCCTTTTTCTAGTTGGCTCTCTTTAAACTTTTCTTAGGGGAACCTGGGTGGCTCAGTTGGTTAAGTGTCTGACTCTTGATTTTGGCTCAGGTCATGATCTCACAGTTTGTGAGTTCAAGCCCCATTTGGGGCTCTGTGCTGACACTGTGGAGCCTGTTTGAGATTCTCTCTCTCTGCTCCTCCCCCACTCACGCATGCACTTTTTCTCTGTTTCTCAAAAACAAATCAACGTAAAAAAAATAAAATTTTTTAAAAAAAAATGCCAAAACTTTTCCAAGCCAGCTAAATAAACCCAAATATGGAATGATCTGAAATGACTTAGACAAAGCAAATGATTCTGACTTTCCCAGCTGGGGGACTTTGTCTTCTTGAAGGCCAGCCCTCTAAATTATGGGAAGATCCAAAGCAAAATTGAGTTAAATAAGTCCCCTAATTCCCATAAGTAATTTCTAAATTATCCTTTTATATACCTTACTTGTAATGCAGCTTGCAAGTGAGTATCACTGTGAGAGCTACAGTTTGTTAGGGTTTAGATCTTAATTAGCTCATGAGAGTGCATCCTTTTGAAGTTGTATACAACAGGTTGTTGGCTAGTTTTCCAAGAGCAATTAAAATGCCCACTGTTGTAATTAAGCGTGTTACTGGTTGTATGTTCTAGTTATAGAATGTATTTGACAATTAAAGAAACTGAGAGTGAGGCTTTTGGCTGGGCTCTTTGGGATGTAGTAGACTGACTGCCACCTTAATACTCTGTAAGGAGAGTCAAGTGGTGTGTACGGGACATACATCGTAGGTCATGTCTTAGACCTTTGAGTATTTATTGTTACTCCATAAGTAAAAGCAACTATAGGTTTGTTTTTGTTTTTTAATTGAAGTATAATTAACATAGTGTTATATTAGTTTCAGGTGTACAATGTAATGATTCAACAGTTCTATACATGACTCGGTGCTCATCATGGTAACAGATTTTTAGGCAAGTGCTAAAGTTCGGGAGTGTGAATTCCTGATTATATACTACTGTATATACAGGAGACAAAAATCCAAACGTCCAAATTACAGTCTTTAGCTGAAAGTCCTTTTTATAAAGCTTTGCCTTATCTTTTAAGAAGGTTGCTTGACTCTGACAGTGAACATTTAATCTGTTAAGCTAACATCTCCATTGCTGTGATCAAATTTTTTTATCTGGTTGTTGAAAGGGAAGTTTGGGAGAAATGCCGCCAGGTACAAGATGTGGTTTAATGTCTGTTTCTGAACTGCGTACAGCGTGTAGAAGTTGTTAAACTGCACGCCCACCATGGCACAGTGAGATTTGGTCTGGCCCATGGGAGAAGCTGTGATGGTCAGGGCTGGTCTTGATGGCAGATACAGTTCTTCACAGTTTCCTTTGCATGCTGCATGACTTCTATTCTTTCCTTTCTCCTGTTGACCATTTTGGACCGTTTCTTTGTTCCTTATCACCAAAATGGCATGGTGACTGAGACCATGGGACAAATGAGTCATTTATTGGACAGGTGAAAATCAGTACTTAAAGTGAAGTTGGGCTTTTCTCGTGTATTTTATTTTGAAATACATTCAGCACTCAAAGGAAAATGGACCATTTAGTTTTGTGATTCCATCCCTTTGCCTTGCCTGTTAGTGCCCTCCCCCGGGCCCCCCCCCCCATGCAATTAACATGAAAATGATGGTTAAAAATGAGCTTAGCATTTAGAGCTGGGCGGGAGGAAGGCTTCATAGCATGTTAAAATCAGAGAAAAAGAGAAAAGGGCAAGTGTTTTGTGATTATTACTTGGTTTTGAGGAATAGTGAAAGGATTGAGTCTTATAAATGTACTTCTTACCAGAGTTATTTTAAGGTTGTGATTAATGATAAAATTATTTTTATCGTACAAAAAATTAGAATTATTAGAGATACACTATTTATTTATGGCTCTCTAGATATATCTGTGTTAAACCTATAATATATTAGTATGAAATAAATTTAAAGGCTCGTGAGTCTGAGGACACTTGCTTTAAATTCATTTATACAGGTACTTTGTGTGCTTCCTTTGTAGCAAGTTTTCCATAATTTATTTCTAGTCTTGTAGAAATACAGGAGAAAAAAACCAACCAGATTATTAGCTTGGTTCCTTTGAGTTTTACAATTTTCCCATGTACAGAACAAAATAAAACCAGTCTTTGGTGAGGTCCTATGAGATAAGATTACTGGTTCTGAGGAAATGACTATCTCCAAAGTGTACATCTGTATGTAATATGTTGTATGCATTATGTGTGGTGTTTTATAGTTAAAATACAACATAATCATCATGAAATAATGCACATGAAATGAGATGTTACAATAAGATGAGCTTGGCTTAAAAAGAAACAAAGAATAAACATGGGATTTCTAAGCAGTTTTACTTGTAGGTCTAATGAGTCTAATTAGTCTTACTCATAGCTCAGATGTCCGCTTTGGTATGCTTTACTGCATAAAATCGTATTCAGCCTCCCAACTCAGAGTAATTCTTACCCTCCTTTGTGCCCCATAGCGCCCCAGGCTTCCCTCATTGTGGCACTTCCTGATCTATAGTGTGTATTCCTCCATTTGAGTATAAAGTGTTAGGGCATGAGCAGATAATTATGCTTTTTATTTTGCCTTTTATTTTACTTTTCCCCTCTGAATTCCTTTTTAAAAAAATTAAAATGTCATTGACACACAATAAACTTCAAATAAAGTGCGTGACGTGTTAAGTTTTGACCTAGTATATACTCATGAAAGCATCCCACAGTTAGGGTAATGAACATATTCAGCACCCTCAAAAGTTTCCTCTTGCCTTTTTGTAATACTTCCCTCCTCCCTCTTTCTGCTCTTTGTCCTGATCTGTTTTTTTTTTTTTTTATCACTGTAGATTACTTGGCATATCCAATAATTTTATATAAATGGCATCTCCTACAGTTTGTACTCTTTTCTTTTGTCTGGCTTCTTTCACTCAGCATAATTATTTTGAGATTCATCCAGGTAATAGCATGTATTGATAGTTTCCTCTTTATTGCTTAATATTCTTCTGTTGGGTGGATATATTAAAGTTTGTTTATCCACTCATCTCTTTTCGGGCATTTCCATTTTCTGCCATTATAAATAAAACTATGAATACTGGCATGTGAATATGCCATGATATTGGCATACAAGCCTTTGTATGGACCTCTACTTTCATTTCTCCTAGGTAAATCCCTGGGAATGGAATGTCTGTGTCATATGACAGGAATATGTTTAAATTTATAAGAAACTGCCAAACAGTTTTATAAAGTCTTTGTATCATTTTACATTCCTGCTAACAGTGAATGAGAGTTCTAGTTCCTTCATATTCTTGCTAACAGTTGGTATGATAAATATTTTAAAAAATTTAGCCATTCTCATAGGCATGTAATAGAACCTCACTGTGGTTTAAGTTTGTATTTCCCTAACGGCTAGTGATGTTAACTGTCTCTTCATGTACTTTTGTCCATATAGCTTCCTTTGAGAAGGCTATGCTTAAATTTTTTGTCCTTTTTTTTTGAAAGGTTGTTTTCTTACTGAATTTCAAGAATTCTTTGTGTATTCTGAATTCTTTTATCAAACGTATGATTTGCAAACATATTTTACCATCTTACAGGTTTGTCTTTCCTTTCCCATTAAGAATGTCTTTTGAAGGGCAGAAGTTTTAATTTTGGTGAAGTATAAATACCAGTTTGTTATTTTATGGATTATATTTCTGGTGTCTTAGTTAAGAAATCTTTGCCTAACCAAAGTCACAAAGATTTTTTTCCAGAAGTTTTGTGGTGTTAGATTTTACATTTAGGTCTGTGATTAATTTTGAGTTAATTTTAGTATGATATGAGGTATGGGTGAAATTGATTTTTTTTATATGGATATTCAGTTGTTTCCACATCATTTGTTTAAAGACTATCTTTTCTCCATTGAATTGCCTTTGTACTTTTGTCAAAATTTGATGTTTCTGTATGTGTGGATCTATTTAAGATTCCCTATTCTATTCCAATAGTTTTATGCTTATCCCTTCTTCAGTACTCATACTGTCTTGCTTATTGTAGGTTTATATTGTCTTAAAATCGAAGTCTTCCAACTTCACCATTTGTCTACATTGTTTGTACTACTTAGCGCCTTTGCCTTCCCATGTAAATTTCATTTTTTTTTTTTTTTAAAACGTTTATTTGTTTATTTTGAGAGACAGAGAGAACCAGCTGGGGAGAGGGGCAGAGGGAGAGAGAGAATCACAAGCAGGCTCTGTGCTGTCATGTGGGGCTTGAGCCCATGAACCTTGAGATCATGACCTGAGCCAAAATCAAGAGTCAAACACT